GCAAGCCTGAGTATCCTATTTTGACAAACACCCTCCTTGCCGCCTCCATCAAATGAGACATCAGATCATCTTGAAATGTTGCCAATGTTTTCTATCTTGTTTTCAGTCAAAGGCATGATAAAGTAATTAAAACAACACCATTAAAGGAAAATTGCATGCAAAAATACATATTTTGTCCATAAAATGAAAGACATTTGGGCCCAATGTTGTTTTGGATCTCATTGACTTAAATTTCACATTGCCAAGAATTTGCATGGCTTTTTAACTCGATTATTAATAAACTCTTTTAGTTTATTCTTAGCTAAAAACACTTAGTTCTTTCAAAAATATGTGTGCTCATTAATGTATATTTACTTCGTTCAAGTAATAAAGTATTCTCGTGAGTGTATAATATGCCATTGAAAATACATACGGGTAAGGGGTTCTAATGTCGGTCGCCATGTTGCCCCTCCATCTTGAAAGTACATTAGCCAAAGAGGGACATACCCGTTAATTCAAGCTTCGCCTTTCGCGTTTACGTTTGAGTTAACGCTCATGGACGAGGTCGAACTGGAAGCCATGTTAATCTTGGACTACATTGGCCACCGTAGGAGTTAAAACGAAATCGGAATTGAGAGGAACAGAAACTAATATTCACTGGATGGTCACCGCTAGATAAGGGTAAAAATCACACAGTGTAGCTTTAAGTAAATGTTAAAATGACTTAATGTGTAAATAACTTAATTTCCCATATCATTGTTAATAGAACTGATATTTAGATTTAAAGTAAGTTAAACACACAACTGTGTGTCAATTGTGCTGTAATTTGGAGGATTCACAGCACAGCAAACCCTTTTCTTCCAACACAACAAATGAAGCCAACAGTCATAAACAACCAGCAGGCCCACAACACCAACAAATCTGACACAATCCAAAAAACTGCAGGGTTTGAGCGAAAGTGAGAGACCTTAGGGTGTAACCCACTAAGAACATTGTGCTGTCGTCGGTTGACCGCACATTACTTTCCGTGAAAAAACCTCTGGAGCCCCTTGCTGTTTTAAAAAGCCACAACTGAACGGCTGTATCCTGTAGAGAGGACTTGCTTATGAAATAAATGTTTCCTCTACACAACAGAGCATCCCTCCCACCGAATCTGCTGCATTCATCCTCAACAATACAGCATTTGCTACACTGTTAACATCTTTCAAAATCACAGCGCTAGCACAGAGCTGTGCCATAGTTTACGAAGCAGTCGCTGCATTCTGCTGCGAGATGATGAAACTGTATTGCACAGTTTCACCACACCTAAAGTAGAAATGCCAGCCAAATCCTACGTGCTATAATAATAATAAGAGGAAAAAAAAAACCAACGGGAGATGACTCTGAGAGAGCTCCTTTCAAATGGATGCTGTCATGTTCAGCCTCCATCATTTGGCGGTAAGTTGCCATCACTTTGAAGAAGAAACTCTGTCATTGCACCGTAAAATGCTGTTCTTTTTGGCAGGAGGGCTGCAATCACTGCATGGCTTTGGCACTCTCATTTAGCAACAGTATCATTTCCACTGCGAAAACGGGAGAGAGAGAGAGAGAGAACGAGCGCAGGTACTGTGTGAAGAAGCTGTGATGAGTCTGGGTGGGTTAGGTAGAGTCATTGATGGAAGAAATGACAGGGAGAGGAAGGGCTATAAAGCTAAAAGACGAAGAGCAGGGTTTGGAGTGAATAATATAGGCTGAGAGTGTGCTCTGTATTAGCTGCTATATGGAAAGGAAGACCTAGGGATGGAAATAAAACACTATTTGTGTACATTTGATTTAGTCACACTTAGCTGAACATGAAACAGAATTTAGTGTGGCCAACCAAAGTAAGAACCAAGGCTGTGGTGAGAGCTGAGATGTCAATGGTAGCATGAGTACAGCAACGACATTGGTGGTAATTGCTTAACAGTGTTTTTGTTTAACAGCAATGTCTTAGAGAACAATATTAACAGCGCTAATGTAGCAACAACATTTGTTGTATTAATTTAGAAGCCCTAGTAATACAGGAGAATTGCAGTAGCAGAGCAAACAGTGTCAGCAGTATTAACATATTGGCTGTGTTAGTAGTGCCAGGCTTATTAGTTATAAGTAGGGGGGTATTCGTATTGAACCGTTCGGTACAAAGCTTTCGGTATGCATTTTTGAACCGAACGGTTCGTTGGACCATTTTTCCTGCCGTCCAAAATTTCGTTATTTCATCGCGCGTGGCAAGCACGCTCATAGACGCTGGCGTGACCACAACATTTCCCAACATCAAATGGCATAAATGTATACAATACATATGTAGAGTTCAGATGCAAAAGCCTCTAAATTCCATTTGAAATTTTCTTCTTTAATGATGATTTTTATCAAACTTGTATATTTAAGTTCAGCAATTTCACTTAAATAACAATTAATAGGTAATTATCATTGCCATTTTAGTGAAATTAGTAAACTTAAATATACAAGTTTGATAAAAATCATCATTAAAGAAGAAAATTTCAAATGGCATTTAGAGGCTTTTGCATCTGAACTCTTCATATGTATACAAATGTATACAATACAATACATAAATGTAATGTAAGCGGAACGAAACTGAGCTACTCGTTATTGTGTGGTTGACGGACCGTATATCAGTTTGGACCAATGCAGCGTGAGCCAATCTTGATCATCAGCACTGTTACTACACAGCGAAATCAGAAAGAAAAAAATTGAATTGAATCGCCACTGAAGTAATAACATCGCTGCGAGATCTAGTGAGAAACTTTTACGTTCCTCCATTATTAACGGATCAAACAGCACTGATGTGGAAACCAGGAAGAAACACTGTGCCATGAGTGAAACATTCACCATGGATTTACTGTAGTAACACTAACTGTTACCATGTGAGTTTGGCAGGAATAGTAGGCTATAAGTAACATTACGTCGGTTTTATTTCGACATTATGAATACAATTGCTGCCCTCAGATGTTAATCTGAACTAAAATAAACCTTTGTTTATTACTACTACAATATTACATTTCGTTTTGTCCAAGGAGCTGTTTTGTTTATAAGCTCCTAAGAAAAGTCAAGAATAGCTCCATCATTGCTCAAAGTTGTAAAATATCATACTTTATGATGATCATACTTTATGCTGTATTGGAAACGTACCGAACCGTATCGAACCGAACCGTGACACAAGTGTATCGTATCGAACCGAACCGTGAATTTTGTGAACCGTTACACCCCTAGTTACAAGTAACCTAATATAAAGAAGCACATTATGAGTGCAGCAGCATTAGCAGTAACTGTAATTGTTAAATTAGAAAAAGTGCTAAGGTATTACTAGCATTAATCCACATTTTTATAAAATGTTATTTACAAATAACATTTTATAAAAATTCGCATCCACAAATAAAACGATTTTACAGTACTGTTCAAAAGTTTGGGGTCAACAAAGTTATGTTTTTTTTTTAAGAATGAAATTAATACTTGTATCCACAAGTTTCCTACGCCCCATGAGGCCTTGCGTCAAAAGTGGGCGCGACTTCCGGTTGGAAGTAAACAAAGGGCGATTTGACATTCATTCAACAGTTGACAGTCATTCAAGTTATAGCGATCCAAACTAGCTAACGATGTGGGAACACAACCTCAACGAAATTCAAAAGGGTGAAATAACAGTCCCTTTACCCTCCGCAGTAGTTGATTGGGAGTATTATAATAACATTATTAATAATCAATACTCATCAAGGCATGGTGACAGACAGTTGTGTGAGCTGACAAACAATTAAAATAAAAAATACACACTTAGTCATTGTGCTTTGGAGTTTATTCAAAATTATAAATGAATGTGCTGCTTGAATACATTAACTGGCACATTTGGTATTCTGTCAACACAGGCTTTGATCCTGACTTTAGGTGTAACATCAGTAGCGAACAGCCAATCACATGCTGATAGAGTTTATAGAACATTAAGAATTTAAACAAATGTACACAGGAAGATTCGTCGTCTTTTGGGAGGTGATGGAAACTAACGTTACAGTCGTTGGCAGGATCAGAGACGGGCTCTGGCGGGATCACTCTGATTTCGTTTTCGGCTTATGTTCAAAACAATCACGTTTAAGCCACTGAACTAGTTTAGTCCGGTTATACATACAACCGCGAACAGCACATGTTGCCCCTGAGCTCCGTAACGACATCTCTCATAAAGATTTTGCGTCTTCAAATAGTAAAATAATTCTCCGAAAAACAGCTAGCCTCTTCGCTAACTAACACACAAAATACCATTGGAATGCTACTTCCGCCGCGTCACCGGAAGTTTCACCCACTTTATTTTTTACAGGAGCGCCCCTCGGAAACTTGTGGATACTGTGCAAGGATGCATGATCAAAAAGTGACAGACTTGTATGCTGTCACAAAAAAAATATATAGTAGTCGAAGTTAATTTATCTGCTCACACAGACATTTGGCATATACAAACAATAATTTAAAGCAAATAAATCTAATTTAGGATAACCAGACCAGCTGACCATCAATCAACACTAGAATCATTTTAAAATCTAATTGCTTGGGGGATAAAAGATAGCTTGGACCCGTTTTTCATGCATCAGGGAACACAGTACCGTCGGCCAGATGGCATTAATTCAAAAGTTGTCACTTCAAAATTGTAAAAACAAGTCCAAATGTGCCTATAATAATAAGTGGACATGGCAACACTGCAAGAGCCGATTGGTGATTGGTTTATGACAAAATAACAATCTAGCGGGTTCAAAATATATTAAACATGGTTAAACACGCGCTCACTCACAGTGCTACTCAATTATACACATATCCTGTGATAGTACGCATCCAGCTAAAAAAGATACGGCACTTCATATGGCACTGCTGACCGTAGAAAATCTCAGTTATGGCGTGTCAAGTGAATAGGTGCTGCTGTAACACAGTGCAATCCCAGTGTCGTGTTCCTGTGCCGTGGAGAACAGAGCACAACTCGGATAGACAGAAAAGATGATTTAAGGCTACTGTACTTGTGGTGGAGCTGGGAGTTGTGCGAGTAGAGCTCTTTCCAAGCCAGACAGCACTGGATACAGTCATTCAGAATCTGCTTGCTGGAGATCACGTAACCCTGAAAGATCCTGTCCAGAGAGATCTGCCGACAGCACTGACGGATGATCTCACTACTCATCTGCAACAAAAAAAACAACACATAGTATAGATTACTGTATTTAAATGAAACACCACGTATGAATCTGTCTTTGTGTCTCTCATAAATGAGGATTTGCTCATGAATGTTTGATGAGAGAACCACATTGACTGTACCAAAGCAAGCGCAGACAGGTGTGTGCCGTAATGTGTTCTGCATTCAGGTGTAGATTAACCTTGAGAACAGACTTTTATACGAATCAGACAGGATTTACTCCTGTTAAAACCTTGGCTTTTGTGCCTGGTGTCACTCAGACGTACTCGCCTTACAAAAACAGAGAGCGTTGTATGGAAGCGAGTAAAGAAAAAATGAATGAAGAGAAGGCAACAAAGAGGAGAGAGGAAGAGAGGAGAAGAAAGTGTAATTATGGCTGATGATGTATATAGTGGAGGATGTGAAACGACAGATTCCCATTCATTCTTAGTTTCTTTTGACAGAGGAACCCCATAGAGCACTGAAACCAACATGTGTGTGTGTGTGTGAGAGTATAGCTCTACATGTGTACAATACATCAGTGGAAAAAGGGAAAAAAAATGTGTATGTGTATGTGGGGAAAAAAAGATTTAGGGAAAATGTGTGTGTGTGTGTGTGTGTACTGTAGTAATGTGTACTACACCCTGATTACAGTGCCAGGCAAATTCATGTTTTAATGAAGGAGGCACAAAACAAGAGGAAATTAAATTGATATGTTAATGACTCAAAATTCTCATTTAAGCAAAAGGTTAAGAGAGCCAGAGAATTAAACAGAGTTCATTTTTTTTTTCCATTGCTCTCTTTACTGAAAAATACTTAAAAGAGTCTTCTGTAAATGAAGACAACACATGTCCCAACGCCTGTCTCAAGAGATTTCTAAGGCCTCGTTCAATCAGAGACGTTTCTTACATTTCTGTCACAGCGCCTCTTGAAAATCAGCAGAGAAGCGCATCTTAACTTTGGTGCAGGAAAAAAAACAAAAAAAACTAGACGGAGCTGAAAGTAGGGTTAGGTGGACGTAAGGGGTAAGAATAGATGACAAGCGTTGAGCTTTAAGGAACCCTGGCAGATGGTGTTTCATATCAAAAAATTGACGGTGGGAAGCAGAGCTGAGCATAATTATTACAAATTATTCTTTTGAAGGCATTGTGTATTCGAACCCTACTTTATCTTTACCTCTGTATTTTTTTCCTGGTATTAAACGTAACAGCACATGCAAGTCCAAAGCCCATGGCCCCTAGCGCTGGCTGATTGGAAAATGATATTAAATCCGATGTAGGCTCGACCAGCTCGGAGAAATAGGACGGGGGCGAAAAACAAACCAAAAACAAATAAAAGAAATGCTGAAGCCCTGAGGGAGAAACAAAGGGAGGCGGTCGTGACGCACACACACAAACACACACATCGTGACTCAAATGCCCTCTGATTGGAAATTATTAGCTGGAAAGCTCTGACTGGAAACTGAATCAAGAAAGCAAGTTCTGCTCCACGTCTTTTCTCTCTACTCTTTCCTTCCTCACTGCAAAGCACAATCAAATGTTTCCCTGCTGAAATAATCAGGTTTCCCATGTTATTTTCCATCTTGGAGGGGGAGAAACCCTCTAAAGTCGAAATACCAGGGCCCATTTCACCTTCGTTAAACACAGCACAGCTAACACGCTATTGCACGCAGCCAATGACAACAGAGCACTGGGTGGACTTCACAGTCCATTTAGATGTATTTGTATATGGCCGCTGATAGAAATCATCGTTACTCTCTGATTTTAGAACAGTTTCCTCAGTTTCTTCTGAAATGTTTCATGTCGGAAATTCGGTCAGGGGTTGTTGATCCCCCATCGGTCCTATAGGAGTGTGGGCCAAATCTGTGAACCAGGTACAAGATTCAAGTCACTGAGCATTAATGGAGCTTAGCGGGTGATTTAAACTCACAGTACAATCGTGGCATGGTGGAAAAGCCATGAGAAAAATGGCAACATTATTTCATAGAATAACAATAAAAACATCTCCACAGAGAGGGCCTATATCAGTCGCTGGAATCTTTCACTCAGGCAAATAGAAATTCAATTTTCCAGTAGAAAAAAAAATGCATGTAAACTGATGAAGGCTCCCATTACGGGAGAAGAGAACTTTCTTTCACTTCAAAAATCATTATGGCATAACCTAAGCAGTTTTCATAGCACAAGCACTGGCCTAACACAATAGAAGTTTCACATCAGATATTCTGTGTATTTGACAAGGTAAGAACAAAGTGCTCACAAAGAGAGCTCACTTGACTGAACCGCAGGCATTTGGCCTGGGTAAGACTGCATAAAAAATTACAGTGTTGTGGCTGAACTGAAGTACATTTCTGACAGATTAAAAGAAAGGCTCTTGATATTTCTGTCTTTTTTTGGTCAGAGGGTGGCTATGGGATTCAATTCCCACCGAAAGTATTGCGGTCACAGATGAAAAAATAAGAACACATGTGAAAAATACATTGCGCAAACGGAAAAAAAAGAATGCAAAATGATCAGAATAGCAAACTATAATAAGCGTGAATCAAAAAAAGTTGTTTCCCTCAGTTTAATGACTCTGTACTTTGTGTTCTCTAACATTTTCTGCTCATATTTTATTCTTTTGTACGCTTGTGCTGTTTTTCTCGTCGCTCTTCTTTTCCAAACCAAATGTTGCAGTTTGAGTTTCATGTAAATTAAGGCAGGCTTAAGCGCCACCATTGGTCCACTACTTCTTGATTGACAGCTCCTCCTTTAGCCAATCAATCGAAGAGGGGAGTTGACGTCGCTCCAGTGTGACTCATGGCTACCAAGGGGGTAATCCAGCACCCGGAAAGCGTACCGGGGGCCGCCATTGGCTAGCAAGCCATTACCTACTGTTAGCATTCCATTGAGTCCCATTCATTTTGGCGTCACTTTGACAGCGAATAACTTTACATCTGAGGCGTTTACAAGTCCATTTGTCCATTATTTATTTCTAAAAAAAAAAAACACCATGTATAAAAGGCTCTATTTACCTTGTATCTAAGTTACGTTATGCCCTGTAGAAGCCGTTTTTTTTTGTTTTTTTTTAAATAGGGTAACGATTGGTCATAACACGCAACTCTCTGCCGCACAGTGAAATTACCGTATAGACAGGAGGAGAAGCTCGCGGGCATTTGAGGGGAGGTGGAGGCATAAAGTCAAGGGTAAAGCCCATAGAGAGTCATAAAGTTGCTCATGCTGCTACTCACGATCTCCGGCTCTGCAAGATTCGGAAGGTAATGATTCAGATTCCTCTTGGCGCCACCACTAGAAGACTTACAGCTGTGAGACAGGTTGTTCACGTCACATCTACGTCGTCAAGCTCAGTTTGAGCCTGCGCAGCCATCAGGAAGTGAATGCTTCTAATTGACTTCACTTTTCTCCGTTGAAGTCTATGGGGTCACTGTGTCCATTTCTTTTCCTGTCTTTGATGGCTACTGATGGCTACCCCTGAGCTGGGGTAAAATCTTTCCGTGGCACCGGTATATACAGTACGTCTACCTGGAAATCCTTTTCCAGGTCATTTCAAACCTTTATCTGTAACTTACTGTCCTTTCTTCTGCAACACTTTTAACAGAAGACTTAACTGTAGTGTCTATACAATGAGAGCCATTGGAGTCCAAAACAATACTGGACCCCAGAATTGTCTTTTACAGCCAGTTTAGATGGAAAGGATCTCATGCTGACTAGCTGAAGATTTTACTGTATAATGATTATGGTACTGTATAATGGCTATGGTACTGAGTTGAAAAGAAATTCCAGCACAACAATACAATCACCATAATAAAACAACCCTTCACAATAAATACTGCTTTACAGTGAACTCTGTTAGAGAGCTACATGGCTATTTATCTGTTTGATAAAATACCTCACTCGCCAGTTGCCAGTTTTACAACATTTCAAATCCCTCAGTACTCTCCATCTCCAAAAAACCAAGCCAATGCTGATTCTTGTTTTATTACAAGCTCTGTCATGGTCTCATTTTGACAGCAGACTCTCCTCTGTTCTGCGTTTTTATTTTTTTTTAACCAGGTGGATCCCGGAGGTTGGATATTTAACTGCTTCATGTCAACCTTTCTTGCTAATTGTGACAACTAACCTCTGCCACTCCCACGCCATTATGGATATGATGAGATGTGCTCAGGCGAGTGACGCATGTACGCAATTTCCAGCGAAAACTATCTCGACATGTCTAAAACATAAACACTAATAATAGGCTTACCATACACTAGAACCAGAAATGATTCCATCCCCTGCTTCATATTTGGAACTCCAAAATGGTTCTATATAGAACCATTTTTTTGGTAAAAGGTTCTATTGGCCATGTATGGAACCCCAGGGTTCTATATAGAACCCAGAGGAACCCTTTTTTAAGAGTGTATAGAACCTTTTAGGGGTTCCAAATGCGTAATGCTGATAGAACCTTTTAAGGTTCTATATAGAACCTTTTCTTCTAGGAGTGTAGTGTTGGGTGAACTAACTCTTTAAATTTGAACATAAGGGAAACAAAAGGGGGGGAAAAGATTGTCCAGACTTGAACTCATTAAACATATGCAGGTCAAAGGTGCAAATATGACCTCAGAGAATAAAAGTGTCGCTTTGGAAAACAACTGCTGATTTAATTCGGCCATTTCAGCTTGTGCGCACGGTCTCACCCCTCAGGAAACAATTAGACCAAATGTTTTTGTAGCAGTCCGATTTGCCTTGATGTGTTTTCAAAGAAAAGAATGAAAAAGAGAAAAAAAGAAAAGAAAAATGAAACGGACACAAAAAAAGAAGAGAGAAACAAAGTGGCAGTAGTACCATGTGATTCCTGCAGAGGAAGGGTCAGAGCGTAATTACAGAAGGTTAAACGGTTTCCCTGATGCTCTCAAGGAGCCCGGGATGGAAATGAAAAGCAAGTGAACCGATCCGAGCGGGTGGCGTAGAGACGCAAGGCCCCGCTCCTCTGATCTGAAGAACACGTGTTACATGTGCTACGCCACTGCGGCTGATGGCTTATCTATGTGGCGGAGCCCAAAGCAATCCGAACTTTGATGTGCAGGAAGCAGAGGAGGGGGGTGTGGGATCCAGACAGCAGGTACTAATATGACTGTATAGGTCTGTGGGAGTGGATTGAGGGAAAACCTCTGAGCATGAGAGATTAGCTGATTCATACAAAATTATGCATGAAGTGATTGATTTCCTAGACAAAGGGTTGTGCATAACAATAAAACCGTGTAGTGGATCAATCTTCATTGTCAGAGCATTGCAAAATCAATTCACTCATGTGCTATTATAAAGAGATAACCTAACATATAATGCAGTGTTTCCCAACCCTGTTCCTGGAGGCACATCAACAGAGCACATTTTGGATGTCTTCCTTATCTGACCCATATATTTCTTGGTTTGGAGTCTCTAGTAACAAGTTGAAGAGTTGAATCAGGTGTGTTAAGTTTAAATATGTTTAGTTGTGGTGTGCCTCCGGAAACAGGATTGGGAAACACTGATGTAAAGTATTGCTCGCACAGGTGACTTGCATTTGTAGAATGCGCATGCAATGTTATCATACTAAATAAAAGGATTACATATTGAACAATAGAATAGAATATTTTAGCAATATCACATGAGCAATCAGAGTAACACATGTTCCCTTTCGTAGTCACTTCGAGTTACGTCAGAAGTGACGGAGATTGGGGGTTTCGCATAGAAAGCCAATCCTCTTCGAGTATTTAAACACGAGCCAATGGCATGCACTGCCTTGGGGCTGCGGAAATTTGCATAGCGTACTCCGCCCTACTCCGTGAGTATAAAAGGAGGAAGTGAACGCAACCGCAGTATGTTTTCGCTTCGGAGCCAAGAGAACCTCTTCACTCCTAAAGCTGATTCAAGACTCTTCGAGAACGAGCGTCCTCTTCAGTGTTGGTGTGACGGCGGTACCCAGCGAGATTTTGCATTGCCTGCGATCTGAGCAGTGGTCTGCCAGACTTTGCACTTCTCCCTGGTAGCTTCAGCGCTGAAAGAGTGAATTTCTCCTTTCTCATAAAAGTGAAAGTGAAAGAGCTGCACGCGGCACGTCTTTTTAAAGATGGTTCGCCCGTGCCCTTCTGGATGTGGTAGATTTCTGTCATCATCTGATGGTCACGAACGCTGCTTTGTATGCCTGGGCATTCAGCATGCAGCAGCAGCGTTCGTGGATGACTCATGTTCCTTCTGTGGAGCATGACCATCTCCACACTGAGGTCGAGGCTCAATGATCTCACTAGAGTGAGAGCCCGGTCCCCCCTACTCGATCGGCTTCCTTCACGGAAGGGGGCCCGTCGACCCGGGGACCCGGCGATCTAACGGTGACGGTGTGGGATAAAGCCCCGACGATTCCTCGGGCCACACCTCCCGCCTCAGTGCGTGAGCCAGCGAGCGCTAGCGCGACTCGGTCGGTTGTCTCTTCGGCGGCACCGGCTGCTTCGAGCAGCGCTCCAGATGATGATGTGATGTCTATCACAGCATCACTAGGCGGGCTTGAGTCCTCGGGAGAGGAAGATGCGGCTGCGTTGCCCCCTTCGGGAGTGCCAGCATTGCCCGTGTCAGATCCCGAGCTGACGGCCATGCTGTCTCGAGCCGCTGGGAGTATCGGGCTAGAATGGAAACCTCCATCCTGCCCCGATCTCTCGCGGATGGATAATTGGTATCTGGACAAAGCTGCCGCCGCAAGGCCACGGCCAACTCCAATACCTTTTTCCCCGAGCTGCATGCGGAGTTATCGCGCTCTTGGGGGCTCCTTTGTCCACTCGAGAGCGCGATCTTCTCCCCCGCCTTTCCCCCCCTCGACGGTGGGGCCGCCCGTGGGTACACTGGGATGCCCCCGTGGAGCGCTCTGTTGCGATGCAGCTGTGTCCACAGAGCGCCTCCACCCGTGGTCCTCCTAAGCACCCATCCAAAGCCTGTGGGTTCTCGTCTGCTATGGCGGCGCGAGCCTATAGAGCGGCGGGACAGGCGGCTTCCGCTTTGCATGCCATGAGCACTTTGCAGGTCTTCCAAGCGAAGATGCTCAGAGACATGCACGAGGGCGGGACTGACTCGACGGCATTTAAAGATTTGCGTCCGCCACTGACCTTGCTCTCCGGGCAACGAAAGTGGCCGCTCGCGCCGTCGGTCAGGTGATGGCCACTTCGGTGGTTCAGGAGCGACATCTCTGGCTCAACCTGGCAGACACGCGGAGCGCTGAGCGGACTCGTCTGCTCGACGCTCCGCTCTCCCAGGTTGGCCTTTTCGGCGGTGCGGTCGAGGACTTCGCCCAGCAGTTCTCCACCGCCCAGAAGCAGACGGAGGCCATCAAACACATCCTGCCCCGGCGACCAGCTGCTGCCTCCACCCAGTCATCGGCGCAGGTGCCTCCCTCTGCTCGCCGCCGAGGACGCCCCTGCGGCTCCCTCCCTCCCGCCCGGCCCCAGCAGCAGCCTTCACCCGGGCCCCGGCGTCGAGGAGGCCGCAGGCCGGCGTCACAGCCCCCTCAGGCCGCTCGCCCCCGCTAAAACGCCAGGCTAAGCGAAGATCCTGACACGGGCCGCTCAGTGACGACTCGAGTCTTTCCCAGGAGGCGGTAGCAGGCCCCCTCCTTCCCCCGGTGGAGGGCGGGGAGAATCTTTTGTTCTCAGCTCCCCGCTGCTCACCCACGGGTGGGCAGCACCCTGAACTGGTTAAAGAAAGACTTGACATCCTCACTGAGCTCACAGACTGGAGTGGGTGCGCTCGATGCCCCCGTGCGTCAGCCCACACACTCCTCTCTGTCACTGAGGGCGCGGAAGGGTGCGTGTGTCGTCCCAGGGCTACACCAATCCTTCCCCCTCTGTCGCCAGACCCCGCAGAACAGACCCCCGTGGAACGCTCCGCTTTCCCTGGTCCCTTCTGTCGGGAGCGGGCTTCGACGCATCCGAGCGGGGTAACTCCTGCACGCGTGCCAGTCGACCCGCACCGCTGCCCCTCCGGGGGACGTCTGTGGTTCGCATGACCCCGTTGGCTCATTTCCTGGAAGCCTGGCTAGCGCTTCCCGGGATATCCCGCTGGGTCATCAGAACGATCAGATTCGGCTACGCGATTCAGTTCGCACGGTCTCCTCCCCGCTTCAGGGGAGTTCGCTCCACGAAGTTGGTGGCAATGCCCCAGTCCTGAGAGCGGAGATTGCGACCCTGCTGGCGAAGGGTGCAATCGAGACGGTCCCTCCAGCCGAGGTGAAGTCCGGGTTTTACAGCCCCTACTTCATTGTCCCAAGAAGACGGTGGTTACGCCGATCCTGGACCTGCGCATTTTGAACCGTTCTCTCCATCGACTACCGTTCAAAAATGCTCACGGCCAAACGCATTTTCGAATGTGTTCGGTATCAGGATTGGTTTGCAGCGATCGACCTGAAGGACGCGTACTTCCCATGTGTCCATCTTACCTCGACACAGACCGTTTCTTCGGTTTGCCTTCGAGGGCCAGGCATATAGTACGCCGTTCTTCCATTCGGGTTAGCTCTGTCCCCTCGCGTCTTCACGAAGATCGTCGAGGCAGCCCTTGTTCCCCTTCGCGAACACGGGGTTCGCATCCTGAATATCTCGACGACTGGCTAATACTAGCACACTCTCGAGCTCAGCTTTGCGAACACAGAGACTTGGTGCTCCGGCACCTAGCCCGTTTGGGCCTTCGGGTCAACCGGGAGAAGAGCAAACTTTGCCCCGAGCAGAGGATCTCTTTTCTCGGCATGGAGATAGACTCGGTCGCCATGTCCGCGCAGCTCACGAACGAGCGCGCGCACTCACTGCTGACTTGTCTTCGACAGTTCGAGGGCAAGAGTGCGGTTCCACTGAAACTATTTCAGAGGCTCCTGGGGCATATGGCATCCGCGGCCGCGGCAAACGCCGCTCGGTTTGCTTCATATGAGACCGCTTCAGCTGT